ATAATAATAATAATAATAATAATAATAATAATAATAAAACTTTATTACAGTCTCAAAGCTCCTAGCTTGGCACACGTGCCTTGCTAATCGGGGAGAACAAGCTAATATAAATATACAATTAAGAATTTAATAAATAACGGAGAGAGAGTTTTAAATTTTATTTATCTCTGCAAGCAGCACACATCGACAAACGAGGTGAATATAACAGCATGAGACGTCAATTATAACCAATGAGCGCGCCGGATTTATTATATTCACTTGTGTAAAAATATAGCAACCACGTGTTTATGACAGTAAGACACATCAACAATGCAGAACCAGTGAAAGCAAAACGAATTATGCACAATTTCTATACCTCATTTTTAAGTTTAGCGCATAAAGCACTCCAATATACGGAGGGGATTTTGCTAGTAACAAGTTGAGCCATGTGGGCTCGCACAAACGCCTCAACTTCACTTTGATCCACTTCGTCCGCCATTTTGGAAGTATCATAACCAAAGGAAGCCCATGAAAAGGAATTGTTCTCGGCAAACCACAGGCCTCCCGAACCGACTTCCCGTACTCATTGTGCTCGTTTTCAAACGAGGCTACGATGTTCAAATTCGAATAATCCATTGAAACTACCTTGCAGCCTCGACTAAATGCTTCGTGTTTGACCAGTGAGCCTATGCATGAAAATTAGAAGATTTTAGGATGTGGTTTTTCAACATTATTATTTCTACATAAAAATGAATTTTAAGCAAATATTGGCAAAAAGCGTGTGTAAGAAGGGGGAGCTATGTTGTCCCTTGAGGTCCAGATCACCTTCCACACACACCACGTTTTTTTAAGTGTGTCGTCAGTCGTATAGAAAAACCGACTTCAAAACGAAGTGCTTGGGTCAAAAACGAAAAGCAGTTCTACAAAGGTTTTTGCTTTCTTTTTCTTCATGACAGGATTTTTTGCCTAAGATTGTAATTGTTTCGGGTGGAGATTTTTTGAGAGCATTTTTCTCTTATTAATTTAAGCAGTTTTCGTGAGGAATAGTCTCTTTCACAGTCACCTACGCCATCTCGAAAGGTAACCGTGCTTTGCATCGAAGCGAGACAAACGGTGAGCTCGCAATAGCTCTGCAATGATAGAGACATGTGAATAATTGTCCAAGGTAGTAAAAAAGTGGACCCGGAAATACGTCATAACTTAAAAGCCTCACATTGACTACCCACCCCTACCCCCAGGGGCGACAATTCATCCACTTTGCATTGTCCCATGTTCAAGATAGCAATAATGATAAAGTAGCTTGAAAACAATCAATAAGATTATATTTATCTTATCCGTAAATCTCCTCCCCCGCTATACAAGCTAAGATGATTGAGATAGAATTGAAATTAAAACGAGTCTTGTAAAATCAATATCTGACAAAGATAAAGATTTAGGCCTAGCCGTGCACGTGAAGGCAGGAAAAACTCAGAACGCGACAAACGCCGGCTAATATTAATAAAACAAGTATTGAAACTCGTCCTTGATAAAGACTGCACTGGATTGTAAATTAATAAGGCATTCAGTATAATAATGAAATGTTTACAGAAAAATGTTCTTGGAAAATATTCTWGCATATAATGGTGCCATCAAAAGTTCACTTTCTCTAAAGTTTCTGGATTTCTTTTCATCTGTGTTTGCAGTTTCCTAGCATTCTATGTGTCTTTCATTTCTTCATTTCACTCTATCCTTGACACAACTCCCCCACAACTCTCCTGATCTATCTCAGTGCAGAACTACACGATGTCATTTCTTTTGTATCTCTTATTCTCTGTCAGTATTCGGCTCTCTCGGTGTCACTCAATCACTCGCTCACTGAGATGTGAGAATGCAATGATCTCCGTCGTCATCTCGCCTCTAGCCTCTCGCCTTTTGTCTCTCGTTTATCGTTATCGCATAGAAGCCATTACATTCTCATTCTCATGACTAATAGGCTAAGACTATAGTTTCACGTTGCCTTATCCCTAAAAGAAAGGCAATTATAATATTGGTACCAGTTTTATGGCCCCCAGAAACTTGTCTTCCCCGCGGTACTTACCGGTACTCCATTGACTACCATCATTACCACATATTTCTTATTAGCATATACCAACTTGTGTACTTCCTAAGAACGCGCGCGCTCATTGGTTAATTGGAGGTGAATATTGTACGATATTCACCTCTGAATCTCGGAATATTGAGTCGGCAACAAAATGGCATCTGCCGGCAATCGTTTTGCTACAATTTCCGATGAGGAAATTGAAAAAATGAAAGTAAATTCCATTCCTATCAATACTATGAAAAAGGGAACGAAGTATGGCCTAAAAGTTTTGCTAAAAGTTTTGCTAAAAGTTTTGCTAAAAGTTTTGCTAAAAGTTTTGCTAAAAGTATTGCGTGAATTTGTCACGCAAACTAAAAGTTTCTGTTTGTTCGTTTTTATTGAATTATTGTATATGAAAATAAGTTACTCTGTGCACAAGTTGGAAAATGCTAAAACAACTGATTATTCGCCTCAGGCTCAGTGAATATGGATAATATTTACCTCGCCGCTTGAAGACTCGCGTCTCGGTAAATATTCCCCGATATTCACTTCTACTTCGGCGAATAATTGCTAATTATTCCTTCTCTACCTAAAAAAATTCATCCTAGGGGCTTACAAAACCAGGAAGCATTAAAAAYATTTCTTGAACCATGGCCAGAATGGCCTTTACTGAAGTTATGAACGTAGTAGTTCACTCGTGCATCAAACACGCTTTAAAAACTGACGAAAAAAGTCTTTATCTAAATGATAATTTAAATTCATATCTCAGTTAAGTGCTGAACACTTTAGAAGCCTTTTCAGTGTAAATGCCGACATTTGAATATCAAATTTATTTATTTTCACATGATGACGTTCAAATTTTAATATTTTGTTTTTGTCTTTCGAATCGATCGTAATAAGATTTTCTAGAGTACCTGTACATAGCAACCAGCGTTTCTATTGTTCTTGGACGTTTTAAAATGAGAAAACATGTTATTGTGGTCATCATTTCATTTTATTGACCCGRAAAAAAAATCCACAGTCTGAGTGAGTTGTTTTAGTGCATGCATCTAGCAGAMTAAGAACGCCAGCTTTTTTTCAAAGATTTTGAGTGGGGGATCATATAATAATAGTGGTACCAAACAGAATCGTTAAATAGATATTTGAACGACTCGACTGTATCGACACCATTCATGACGTCTCGACAAAGCCAATTATTAAACAAAGATAAGAAATCGTGGCTTAATATCAGAGCTTATACCAGTGCATTTTGAACTAACGCTTGATATTTGTTTTGAAGGATAGTTTCATGAATGGTATTGGATTGCGGGTTCTATCTTGCTAGAAGAAAGAAGAAAAGGAGAGGAGAGGAGAGGAGAGGAGAGGAGAGAAGAGAAGAGAAAAGGAGAGAAGAGGAGAGAAGGAAAAAAAATGAAATAAAAATGAAATAAAAATTGTAAAAAATAATGATGTCCGAGTAAAAAGTTTAAAAAAGTGAAAAGTTTAAAAAAATTCGACGAACTCCTCGACCCATTCACTTATTTCACATACTGGAATATTTGATATTTCGATATTTCAAATATCCCAGGATTTTCCGTTTATTATGATAAACAACTAGTACAACTAACTAAGGCCAAAATTCAAAGTAAGGGGAAGAAAAAACAAATGTAAAAATCCTGGCAAAACTGATGCATGGGGCGGAGTTGAATAAGAGCGCGAGTATTAGGACAACTTGTTCAGCTAACACRCCTTGATGTTTTTTGTGCTTTTTATTCTATCCTTTTTTGTTTGACGCAGTTAGCAATATTTAAAAGCCAAAAACTCTTTTTTGGAGTTTTGTTCTTGCCTACTTGGCTTGTGGCAACTGGTGGTAGCGTCTTTTGTTGAGCTGACGTGAGTTCCGATGGGAAACTACTGACAAAAGACACTCGCTTGGCGGTCAATATAAACCCCCTCAAAAAAACAAACATGCAACGAATTAACGCGAAAAATGAAAACCCTTTATAAGAAAGATAAACAAAATCTTCTAAATTAAAAAAGCAATCCTTCGTTGATGGTTCTCTTCAGTAAACGTTTGAAAAGATTCTTCTTTTTTTGAAATATTTTTTTGGAAATAAAGTTTGTTTTGTTTTGTTTTTAAAATCGTATAAATGCAAAAGATATATCTGAAAAAGCGTTGGAAAGAAAGCTGCAAAGATGAGTTACGTTCTCACGGTTGAGACTTACTGCGATCTCAGTTGGCTATCTTTAATCATTTGTATCATATTTTTATCAAAACAACCATGTTTTTAAACCAAACAAAGTCCAAATTGCATCGTGTTGGTCAGTTTTAATTCTTTTTCTCTCTAATGGACTTATTAATACATCATTACTGAGGGTTTACGCTACTAGAAAGATGCTACACTTCTATCTCATTGTTAGGGACAAAGTTTTCGGCTTTTAGCCTCTTTTAAGCCTTAGTGGCCATATTCAAGTGCATGATTTGACAGTTTCTACGAATCAATGATTAAAACTTGCTTTAAACTTTCAAAGAAATATATAAATCTAATTGTATGTAACATTATAAATATCCATTGCACTAGCTGGACGGCTGTTCAACCCAACTATATTGTTTCATTTTATATAAGTTTCTTATAACGATATCGGCAACACTTCTACTCCAATCTTCAAAAACGATTGTTCATCTCGGTAATATAAATTAAGGAGTCGTAGTAACAACCCATTTGTTGAGTTCAGATTCTCCATTTTCGTGTTCCCCAAAAGGAGAAACTTTTTCATCATGTTCTTCTATAAGTTTTTGTAAATGTTTGATGTACGAGACCGCACAGCGTAATGTTTCGACTTTAGATAATTTTTTCTTGTCAGGAAAATAAGGAATATGTTGTCTCAGTGAAAAGAATCCATCATTTACTAGCCGCACACGGTTTCTCTCTCTTTCATTTCGTCTAGCGACGGCCGTAGGCTCTATTTGAATTGCTACTCCAGCACAATTTTTTTTCCTTGTAGAAGAAGAATTTGTAAGTCTTTGATCCTTGTTTTTCCCCGAGCAATTCAATTCATCAACTCGACTTCTTTTCCGTCCGTTGTCTTGAGTATTCAATACTACAAGCTTTTCACGTAATTTTCCTTTGTTATTGCCCAAATCACTGTCTATTTCGGGKTTTTTCTTTTTCTTATCGACTAAGGAACTCATTTTCGACGACTTTAAGTTCAGTAATTTAGTCCGTCCGCGCAGCAGTTCTTAGTTTCTTGTCGGTGGGGAATTCTCGATTTGTACGTTCAATCTTCACCGCCTTGTTTGGCATTCAGTCACCAAATACTGAATGCATGAATAATGAATACACTAGCTCACTTTCTTTTACAACCAAAAACATGTATTATTCATGGCCATTGTTGTGCTAATACTCAGTTTTAAGCAATGGAAGAAAGCCCGGAAATCATAACGTCAGCCACTCGCAATCAGGGATAAGAGGAAAGCTCGCTTAAACTATACAAAAAAAGATAAAAATCGTTAACAATAGTTCGATAAATGGCTGGCAATCCTCAAGTTTGCCTACCCACTTTTGAATGAAATAAAACTTTTATTCGAACGTTTGTTTTTAATATACTTACATCTTTTTTCATAGACAATTTATTCTCCCATCATATTATGATATTCAAACGATTTTGGAAATCCTACTTCATTTCGGATTAATGATTATTTGAAGCCTATTTTGTTCTAAAAAATAAAATAATATTGAGAAAATAATTTTGTGGGGGTATAAAGATGAACTATCGCTGGAAGGCAGTGGTTTTTGTTTGTTTTTTTATTTTTGTATTATAAGGAATATTTTTTTTTTAGGAATTCGCAAACACTTAGCCTTCATTAATCAATTAATCAAGTATGGAAACCCATGCAGGTGTCTTAGTAATCTTGTTCCTGATTGGGTAAAACCTTGATTTCTAATCGATGTTAAAAATCCTCAAAAAATGGACTCTCTCCTCTCATAATTCAACAAAGAAAGAATCCTCGTTTATCATTCGTCAATATCCATCTTAAAAGATATTTATTTGATCGACGTTTTTAGGGTGTTAACGGGTTTTCCTTGCCTCCTGTTTCTCAATTGATAACAGAACACTGTCTAAAACACATCAATGACATGATAAATGTTTTCATGATTGATTTGAGCTGATTGAGGATATGTGCATGTATAGAGGCTGAAGATTAATGCTTGTGTCAAAATTACTTAAAGCTAACAAAAGGCTAACAGAATGAAGTAAAGGGCTCGCAGAACTTTGGATTAAAAGCTATAAAATTCATCTTTGGAAAGTCATGAAATATTTCATTTAAAAATATATATGAATTAACGGATGAAAATCGAAAATTATGTTGTAGAAATTATAAAATAAGTTCAAAAATAATGCAAATAATCAGTATATATCTAAACGAAAAAAGCTTAACTTCAATCCGCGTATTAAACGAAGAAAATTATATTTAAATACAATATATTTATAAACTAATTTTTCTATTTTTTCTTGTTTAATTATTCTTGTTTATTTATTCATTTTTATTTTTCACTGCTAACAAAGTATCGTTTTTTGAACGCAATCGCGAAAGCATATCTTTTGTAACTGCGTGAATGATCTTACCACAAAGACTAGGTATTGATCAGATTACGAACACGTTCGCTCAAATAAATATTCCCATCAAACAATTACACTGAATTCTTAGCTTATCTAGTAACAAATGAAGCGAGCAATCTCATTATTTAGAGTCATTTTTCGTCTCTCATTTATTTTTACTCGTGAATCTACTTATAATCTACAGCATTCGATTAAAAAAAATGCGATTTGAGGAAAATATCTTGCATGTAAGCCAATAATGAAATAGCAAACACTTGAAAAATTGCGCTAAAAGGCAAAAAAATCTTGTTTAAACCTGTTTTTCCTTAATACCAAAGAAATATATTCCTGGTACTCAGAAAGCTTTGCGTTGGTYCTTGAAGCACTCGAGAAAATCAGACAGCATTAACTTGCATTTTAAGAGTTTTATTTTCCTTTTTCAATATTGAAAATAGAAAAATAAAGAAAATTTGAATATATGAATAAACGAATGAATAAACGAATGAATCAAAGTCTTTTATCATTCTTTAAAAAGCACAATTTTAAGATCAAAAATTAATAATTTAAAATTAGAGAATAGTAAATCCTTATGGTGAAAAAATTAAAAACTTGATAAACAATATCGGCTTGAAATATAAGATCGTTCGCTTGTATCTGTTCGCGATGCGCTTTTGACAATTAAACAGATTTATGTCAAAGTGATATAAAGATTTTTTAACTATGAGAAACGGGTACAATATTGCTATTTGTATTTAAAGAAAAATTTAGTAAAAATTGTAAGAATTTCTTCGTAAAATTAATTTTYGATTGGTACTTCACTCAGTCAATTATGTCTTAATTCTTTCTTTCAAATATCATAAAACACGAGTATTTTATCTGTTCTTATAGATATATGTTGTGGAAAGTCGATATGAAAATCTCCACGTTATGCAAGCGAAAATATAAACCAGATACACAAAGCTGATTACGCTTAATTCGACATTTTCTTATTCCTGCAAWATAGTGTTTTTCAAACAAAAACAATCCGCGCCTCGAGAGAGAAATTTAATGGCCGGAAACACGCACATTTTGAATAAGTTTACTATTATTTCTCGAAAATAATTAAAAAGAATTGCCTCTTACAATGTCCTTCAAGTCTTCAGCAAAGACTTATCGTAAATCACGCATGCCTGAATCTCGCTTGAATTCTGAGGTGAAATCTTCATATATTAGTTATTGATCCATAGAATTCGAAATTTGTTTTAAAACCGTCCTAGTATAACAAGTTAATATTTATTAAATTATCAGAAATYTGCTCAATGAGAATTTAAAAGAGTTATTTTCGGTCTAAGATAATTTGATTTTTTTGTATCCATTAACATGGTTCATAGTTTAACTACACGCTCGGGTTATCAGTTATTATATGATTTCGTTCAATATCGTCAAACCATTCGTATATATGATCTTCTTTATAGTAAGGACGCAACCTCTCTATTATGATCAATTGGCTCAGTCCATTTCCATTACCGTTTAAGAGAGGTCGGAATTCTCTTTCAAAGAATAGTTTTAAAATTCCATGCAAAAGGAAATTTCTGGAGAAATTATCAAAATTTAAAAACATATCCGGCCATAGATGGAACATCCAAACAAATGTGGCGAAAGAAGATGCCAAGATAATCAGTTATACTCGATCTATTATGTTTCTCGCATCTTGAGCCAATTCAACGCTAAAATAATTTCCAACTGTAGGAAGTGTATAATGACGCTTTATAATTAACCAATATTGATACGATTGCGGACTTGGTTTAACCGTGTGAATCAACGTAACGTAACGTAACGTAACGGCAAGCCGAGAAATTCATTCTTACTCAAAAATAACTGAAAATTTAAGATAGACCGTGATTTACATTAGTTTATATACTAAAGAAATTTCTCATTTTTCAACGGTTTTTCACGGCGAAAATGATAAAAAAATAAACGAAATAGGCTTGGTTGTTTTGATGCCAACTGCAACCTTGTCGTCGTTTTGGCGCCTTTTCATACTCATTACTCTCAACTAGAGTAAATAGCTTTACTCAATGTTTTTCTTAATTAGTTGACACCAAGGTTTTGACCATATGGCAAAGTTTTTCATGCAAAATAAACTGACATGGTTTTTAAATCTTTGGGAATAAATGGTGCTTGACTTTGACTTAGCCTGGAGGTTGTTTCAGGGTTCTATCGGTGTGTTAGCCGTGCCTTGACTTAGATCAGCCCAGAGGTTTTTTCATGACTCACTTCAGGGTTTTCAAAGAGCACCTTGGGCGGTAGCAAAATACTGAAGCTTTCTTTAAAAAAGGCTATTTTTTCATTCGTGCAAAATAAAATATAATAAAACTGAAACTTGTTACACGCAGTATTGCATGCAACAAATCTGAAGTTGAGTCAAGTTCTACTCTTGCAACATTGCGCGCAACAAATTTCATCGTGTGAACATGGCTGCAACATTGCGTGCAACATTTTGAAATTTCGAACCAATGAGCTTGCAACAAATTTATAATCGCAGACCAAATTTCTTAACATAGCAGGCTGACACAAGCGATGTTGCGAGATTTTGTTGCAACGCGTGCCCGGTTCAAATTTTGTTGCGTGCAATGTTGCACCGTGTGTCAGCACCTTTATTTACAGTAACCTAGTCTCCTTATGCGCATCCGCTATTAGTGTCGTCACGCAACGCTCACTCCCCTAATCATAAGTGAGCGTTGCGTGACGAGTAGACACAAGCTGCAACATTCCTGTTGTGTGTAATGTTGCGTGCAATGTTGCACCGTGTGTCAGAACCTTTAATTTTTAGAAATTAAATAACGAGAAATGCCTGTAATATTCCTTTAAAAAATGTCAAGAGTCATGTTTGCAAATGGACCCATTTTCTCTTAGGTATTACATTTTCGATTTTAGACCACGTCATTCCTTTGAGCACTAGATACTTTGCTTGAGTCGTGTCCATATTCATGGTCTTCTCAACAAAGACAGAATATTCAAAGGAATGACAAGTGGTCTGAAATATATGGGGAATATTAGTTAAAGAGGTCTGATTTAATTTAACCTGAAAATAATGAGAATGAAAAGATGCAGGAGATAAATGATTAGCCAGTGAGACGTTACTTTATCAATTATCTTTATAATATTAGGGTACAATTGACATCCTATAATATCATAGGGCTGTAATACTACTTTACCTGCTATATGCCCTACTATACTACTACTGTTCACTGTTGTAGTAATTACACTTTCCTTGCTCTGTTTAATATATTCTAATTTCTGCTTTTGTTTACCGACCTCAAAATTGAGGCTAAGGGACAGGTCAAAAATTAAAGGGGGAGGGCTGGTGCAAATGGGGGCAGGGTCATTATTTTTTATGGACGCTAAAAGAGAGGGCTAGAAGGTAGGGCCCTTAGTAAGCAAACAAATAAATATGAGAGATGATCAGGCGGTAAGCCGTGTGGGATGGGCTCGGACATCATATAAAAACATGCGTAATAGGTAAATTACGAGCCTTAGATGAAACGACCGAAGAAGAGTGCCATACAAGCCTTTCACAACTTCAAGTCGCGTAAAAAATGAGCCAGCTCAACTAGAAACGGTGGACAGCTGTTTCGGCCTGTATTGGGTCTCGTGAGCACGGTGTATCTAGCTCGAGCCCTAAAGCCTCTACTGGCTTTTTGGTCAGCGGGCTAGCACCGTCGAACTCCTCAACCTCGTCCCCAGGGCCCTCTCGGCCCGACTCCTGGGAACGAGGTTGCGAAGTCCTAGATCCAGATCCTTACCAGCCAAGTAAGAAGGCTTGGCTGCAAAGTATAAAAATGGCGGCAGAGTTGAACTCAAGAAAGTCTTGACAATCTTGGGCAAGTTTACGCTCTTTACGCTGTGTTATTGGGTTAAAGATACGGAAAATATTATCTTCTAATCTACATTTCAGGTGGGCTATCACATGTATAAGAAATACTAAAATATCGAATCCTATTTAACGTTTAAAAAAACTATAAAATGGAAATACGAGATTGTAAAATGAATAAGTTTTAAGCTTATATGTTCCCTATTGACTTGTTGAAAGTTTAATTTATATCTACCCGGCCAACCCGCGGCCAACCAAGATCAAACTGGAGTTAGAATCAGGCCTTGTTTGAATTATAAGAAATGTAAAGATTGTAGTCTCGCTTAAAATCTTAATGGTAAGTTTTCAAAGCAATGGGAAATTTTGCACGCGACATTTGAAAGACCAACAAATATATCGTGCCTAGAAAGAGAATCATATAGTTAGTAAAAGTTACTCAAATATAGTCTCYTCYSCAGCCRTYATTAKTTTTGGTCCYAGMTCCTCACAAGCCCTCTAATGATGGCTGCAAAGGAGAGCATCTCAAATAGGACCCGAGTGATGACCAACAATAGACAATCTTGTACGAATTTTTTCATCGTTTCAAGCTGTTGCCCACCAACATACAGATCTTTAGTTGATTACGTTTATCATTATTATCATTATTATGACCCGTATTGCCCTGCTTGCTTACTCTTATAAAACGTGCATATTCTAATGAGACTTTATTGTATAAGCTCCTGTTTGTCTATGTGAATAAAAATATAACTTATACTTACTTACTTTGGAAAAAGTCACGTGATGGTGGACAAACATGTTAAAGTKAGCAGGCAGGAAAACTATGCTGCGCTSGGTCCATAGGACATGACCTYRRGCCAAATATTTACCCATCTGGCCCAGTCTACATGTAACTCAGTCAATATTAAGTACATAGTACTTGATACTTRATTTTTCAGGCTTTTTTCTTGCCACCCACAAGTTGTTTTAAAGCAAGGCCCACWACAATGCCTGGGTTGCCACACATCCACTCAACAATAAGCACCTTCTCCATCAATTGCCAGGAAATAATCCACTCGGTTGAATTCAGCCCTTATGAGAACTCATCAGAACTGATTGCATATGGAGGTAGCAATAAAGTATCTRTAGGGGTGAGTCGGTTTGGTGATGATGCCGATGATGACACAGGATTTCAGTTTAAACATGTGGCTGATTTTCACCATGGTACCAGGGTACAGGGTATCGCCTGGTCGCCTCAGACCTCTTTATCGAATATTCAAGCTTCTGTTCAGTAAGTKCAATTTTTTAATCAATAAGGAATATATGAATTTACTGCATGTCAGGACACAGACCTCAWRTAAATGTCTAATTGAAATGAAATTCCACAACGGTAAAGTAAAGAATACTCTATTTTACMGTTCCATTCAGTGACCAYGAATAATAGTTCCTAGCCGAGGCTGGAGTTCCTGCRCATGATAAACTGTGGTTTYGCTATGCGCRGAAACTCCAGCCTCGGCTAGGAACTATTATTCATGGTCACTGAATGGAACGGTAAAATGGAGTATTCACAACTTTRATAATACAAACACTTTGAAATTCCATGGACCTTCGCTGGAACACATGAATATTCTGCACAAAATCGAGGCTAACCCTGAGCAACAGAGAACTCGAAACTGGAGTATTGAAGATGAAATTTGTACTTTTTTAAACCACTCAGTTAAAAGTCTGCAATAGGACAAACTTCTCATAAAGTATGTACATGTTGGTTGTCTACCYCAGATTTTGTACTATTGGAGGTGACAAGAAACTAAGACATTTTGCAACATTTGGATCTGAAAACACGTCAGTTAAGATCCTTGGTGGGCATACTGGATACGTCAATGCCTGTGTCTTTGAACCAATCACAGGAGAGCAAGCTGCAAGTGTCAGCGGTTGGTATTATGAACAGTAATAATAATATAATATCATATATAATATAATATTAATTGCACTTATATTGCATGTTATTTATTTGTCATTTTATTTCTAACTTTTGGATAAAAAAACAAGCTGAATTTCAATAGCCCCCCTGCAGCACAGATGAATGCAGCTTGATTTGGAATTATAAAATAATTGGGATACTATGTGCACTATGATTGGTCGAAAACCATGTTTGATGAGAGTATCAAAACACGCTATCATCATTTTAGCGCGCGCAAGTATTGCAACTGACAGATTTTAATCTGTCGCGCGCGCTCATTGGCCAGTTTGAATAAGACTGCAAATAGGGAGAATTTACTTATACTTTGCTTTTTTTCGACCTTTTCGCACATTTTTTATTTCATAAAACAAATCAAAAACAGTTTTCCGTGTTTGATACTCTGATCAAAACACGTGGGATGTTGGGAGAACACTCGAGAAGCTGGAAACCACTCTGCTGCACGTCATGGTTTCCTACGCTCCTCTCGTGTTCTCTTAACATCCCGTGTGTTTTGATCAGAGTATCAAACACGGGAAACTGTTTTTGATCTGTTAAAACATAACTACGATAGGCGTCTCATTCTCAGGACATTGAAATTCTTTTGCTTTGACATCACATGCAAGGGGGTCTATTCCATCTATTTGCTAGCCATGGCTTGACCTTGATCAGCCCAAAGGCTGAATCTCAGGTATCAATATAAGATTTGAAGGTTTTAACTGCATTGAATGGAGCATGGAAAATGTTGTTAATTTTTTTTTTTAAATGGTTTTACATAAAATGAGATTCAACTTTATAGCTTTTGTTCTCATTTTAGTTTTATTGATTTGCTTATAGATGACAAAACATGTCGTCTCTGGGATCTTAAAACAGGAGTACAGAAGACTTGTATYCCTCTTGGATCTGCTGGGATGGCAGTCCGATGGAATCCTCATGAACCAAACAAGGTAAAAAAAAAAGTAAAGTACCTATATTTACAGCAGTAGTTCCTTCAGTTGAAATTCAACTGCTATCAATGGAAGCCGAGGGTGCACACTTCACCCCCTCTCTCCATCAGTGCTCTGTTTTAAGAGTATTCAAAGCTGAAGCTAAGCGGATTAGAGAGAAGTTGAAAAAGTCGTGGAGATCCTAAGGATGGAACCGTTGACCTCAAGCTCTGAAGGTTGCGCACTAACCAACTGAGCTACGCCTGCTCCTATATATGGTCAGTGTGCAGTGTTTTCTGTAGTAAATTTATGAAGCCATCTTAAAAAATGTTCAATCTATTTTACTTACACTTTATTAATGTTTGCATTGTTTTTTATATTTTCAGCTTATGGTTGCAGAAAAGAATGGTATTATTCGATTCTACGATCTTGTCAGTCAGCAGCCAATCATGTCTCTAAGTGTTGGTCGTGTCCCTCTGATCGATGCTGATTGGTGTCCTACTGATCCTCTTAAAGTTGGTGCGGTTGCTCTCGACGACTGGTAYATCTGGGATATGTCCAAGTCAAGGTATTATTATTATTATTTATTTATTATTATTATTATACTTGGTAGTGATTTATAATCAAATTGCATTATGTTATAGCACCCCTTTTATATGTATTATACCCAAAGGTGCTTACAGTACACGGTCATGAGTGAAGGATTGGTCAATGATTATGGCATGCTTCTACGTTGCGTTGCTACAGTAGCACAAAGGAATCATAAAAGCTGCACAAGGCATAGCCAAGTTCGACTCTAGCTTCTTGAGTGCTTAACCAACCAAAAGATTCCAAAATTTTTTAAACAAAATCTCCATTACATAGCGCCGCTACTCAATCACATCAGGGTGCCCCATTGATTTTTGTATGCACAGCCGCACACCCTAAATAACCAATCAGAGAAACTTGAATGAAAGTCGTGTTTTCAATCAGGTACGACATCTTGTTATTTTTACATCTGAATATAGTTTACCAGAGGTTAGTCGGCAGGCACATCCAGATGGAGTATGCCATTTCAGGTATTTTCATCAAACTATTAGTAATATATATTTATGTACATGTACTAGTCAATTGATCCCCACCACCCAACCCCTGCCTGTGACGGGGTGGGAATTAACACAGCAAGACCAGGAATTTAAAACACATTTAACATCATGAAATCTTGAAYGCATGGCTATAGAGGCAAGTAACGCATACTTCAACAGTTTAACAATCTTAACAGCAACAACTAAATAATTTTAAGAGCAAATCTGTCCCCAGGGACTGGAGGAAAGTGCTATATTTAACACTAGCTGTGGTTCCACTTGGGGTTCTTTCAGTGTTACACCAGTTTTTACTCTAAGTTWTAGTGTTTTGAATGGAGCCTCTTGTTGTAGACATTTCGATATTAGTGTTTGTTGTTCTGGTAAGGTGGTTACCTCAAAAGCACTTTTACCACAATATAAACCGTGCTAGATAGGACGGTTTATTGGTGTAACTTTAAGACTAATTATTTGACRTCTACTTCTTTACAAATAGCTAGGTTTCACTAGGTGTTTACGCCAACAATGGAACAGACCGTCTATCAAATCRACAGAGGGTTAAACCAGAATAATTCAGTGTTTATAACTTACTCCTAGTGGAACCGCAGCCACTATGTGAATGTTAAATTCRCTRTTGTACTTSTARWGCATTTGYATATGTAATAGGACTCCATAATAATTGGACGAGGAAAATTCCGAGGACTSACAAAATTGGATGAGGCCGTAGGCCKAGTCCAATTTGGCAGTCAGAGGAATTTTTCGAGTCTAATTATTTCTTGATTGGGGAGCATAAAATCCCATTACCTATTAATTATATAGCTGCCTAATTAATCCCATATCAACAAGACCTGTCCAATTAAGAAAATAATTGGACAGTTACCTATATGGGATTAATGAGAAGCTGTATAATTAATTTATAAATTATTCMGAGCAAGACAGTGAATGAATGAATGGTTAGTTGAATGAATGAATGTTGAATGAATGGCAGGCTGAATTAATGATTTAGAAATAAAGAGATATAACTAGCTAAAAACTAGTGTGAGCTGCGTCGGTGTTTCTTTTACTTGTGCTCTTTTACTCCGACGAAGGACTAGCGTCCGAAACGTCAGTAAGTTGTTTCATCTTTTCACGGTGTATAATTTACCTTTTCATCATTACTGATTTAGAAATAAAGAGAAAAGTGAAGAAAAAAAAAAGAAGAAGGAACAAAGTAATTAGAAGAATKAATAAATGAATGATTGAAGAATGAAGAAATAAATAAATGGAAAAGCATTTTGTTTGAAAATAATGATCAAATCTTTCTTTATTTTGACTTTAGATGGGCAAACAGTCATAGATCATTGTTTGCAACCTCTGGTCGACCTGGTAATCAAGTGAAGGTCTATCATATTGGCCATCAAAAGGTACTCAGTACTCAAACTTTTTTTAATAATGGCCTTTGCAAGCATGCCCGGGGGGGGATCTGGTAAAAAAGTACCGGGGATGCGCTCATCGTATCTCTTAGGGGTAAAAATTCGCGCTTTAGTATCTTTTAGGGTGTTAAATGTGAATTTTTGAAAATCATCATTTTCTGGTATCTTTTAGGGTGTCGGAAAACGAGAGAAGCGCGCATCAGTATGGCTTATCCTAGGTGCTTTTTATATAAAATTTAATATTATTTGTTGTGGTATCTCTTAGGGGTTAAAAATCATTCAGCCACGCCCTTTTTTAAAGATTTCCGGTATCTTTTAGGGGTCTTTTTGAAAATTTCTGACAAGCATCCCCAGCACTATTTTCCCGGAGTCCCCCCCCCCAGGGAAGCATGATGATGTCATTTTGACTTCCACTTTCAAGATGCTTCATGAATTTTCTTTCCTACACRTATTTATTTTTGTATTCCCTCATGAGAATAGTAAGACAGTTGGTGCTAATTAACTGAACAAAAGAAAGTGTGCAAGGGAGTCTGGTAGTAGAAGTCAATGACACCATCTTGCAAACGTCCTACTGATGTTTAAGAGTCGTAGTATAAGGAGTTCTCGTTGCTTTGAAAGTTATAAAAGATAACCATCTGGACATTTGATTTTTTCCTTAGAAAAATTTGCTTCATGAAAGACAATTGACATCTTTAATTTTATTATTATTTATCATAATTTATTATTATTATTATCATTATTTTCAATCTTGATAATGACACCTGATAATGTCGAAACGTTGATCAATATCATCACTCATTTTCATATTACAATATCACTATCATTAAACTACTATGTGTATGAGAACATATATGAAATATATATTTGTACTGCRGTTGTAATGTATCAAATTGAGCTGATTCTCGCAGTGTATGAAGCAMCTTATGCAGCTGCAAATTGGAAGACTCAGAAAAATTTCTGATTCTTGAATGGGATTTGAACCTGTGCCCTGGCAATTCCRGTGCCATGCTCTAAACTACTGTAAGTCTCCAAAATCTTTCAAAATCTAGTTTACTCCCAGAAAGTTAAATTTTTTATTAACTTTTTTATGTTTCTGTTTGCTTGAAGTTACCAGTATCTTGCGATATCAAAGTAGGTGGAGGATTATCCTGGCATTACAGTCTCCCAGTGTGTGCATCAGGTGATGATATGAAGGTCCATATGTGGGCAGTAGAAGTATAAAGTATAGTAAGAGTAGATGTTATGGAGGTGTTACTGTGGCTTTCAATATATTTTGATGGCTTGGCCTCTAAATGGCCTGTCCTGAGTCAGAGAGCGCCAGATCCTAACTGCTAGACCACATAGAAATTAAGCTACTGTCAGTATATACAAGAGAATATTAACTAAGTTACTTCATATTCTCTTGCTATATAGTATCTGAATGAATGCATATACAGTCAATTCGAAAAACGTTGTCGTCGACCAACTCAAGCCTATGCAACTGGACCGAAAGGAACTCTGGGCAATAATCATTGAAGCTGAGTTGACTCCATACTTCTATCTGACTAGTTATGCCTGGTTTACAGCACGAACCTTCGTAGGCGAGCAGGAAGTGTTGAAGGAGATGATTTTTAATRCCTTCATTTTTTYGAAATTGTGAACTGAATCATAACTACTTTGTTTTTCTTTCCCTAAACCCAAAGACATGCATTTCATGGATTGTTTCTCACCATTATTATTYATACTACTAGCAGGAACAATTCATTCAGAACGAATATTTAACTGCTTCAGTGATTTTTACCCCTATTCCTTTTCGGTCCAGTCACGTTGGCTTGAGCCGGTTGACGACACAATTTTTTTGAATTGACTGTATACTTAATTGAAAGTAATTTACATCACACAACACTTTTTCTGCCTAGTGCACTTGTAACTATCAAGTAACAGGGAACACTTCCTTGAAGGCCATCTGTTCTTTTCCATGAATTCTACATTTTCAGCCCAAACAGTTTCAAAGTCTTCTTCTCCTTCAAAGAAGCTGTAGTTTGTGGCCACAAAGTGTAGGCACCATTTGTGGAGAAATTCTGCATTGTAGGTCTGTGAAGAAATATAATAATGATCATGAAATTCTGGAAACCTATGTAAAGGGATTAACAAACTATCAAGGCTAGAAGTACTAGTTCAATGTTATTCAATAATATTGAAGTTTTTGCACAGCATGGAAGAAGAGTTTAAAGTGATATATCAAGATTTTAAAGGCCTTCAAAACAATTTTGAAAACTCTTTCATCCAGTGTTTCTAAAGTCAAAGGTTTCAAATGATRAACATAGGACTAGCCTGTGTAGCAGAGGTGCTTCCTTGCTTTCCTCGCCCCTTCCTTCCTCCTCAAATCCTCAAAAGCCCTGTTACACAGGCTAATATGGGACATGAGACTCATATGACTGAACTAGGTAGTGTCTGTACTTACAAGGACTTATTTTTGAGAGAATAAGTGCAACCAAAACCATTTTTTTACAACTTTATTTAATAATAGCTAAAAGGTACATGATTGTATACATAAGATAGTTTGATTAGAAACCTGAGKTATGTGTGGGAGTAAAGAGCTTTTAATATGGATGAAGTACATGTATTTGTACTGCAAGTTGAGAGCTAAATAGGAGAGGCATCTTGCAAGAGTCGGYAAATCTATAACCCGGGGGGGTACTCCCCTATATTTGCTATACGGGTATGTGCCGCCCTATAGGGTATGGTTTTTCAGCTTTTGGGTCAGGGGTAGGGTATCATTTTTTGACATTTTGTCTGGGATAGGGTATTGTTTTTGTCTGGGATAGGGTTACGAATTTGGCAGTTTTAGCCTTGGATAGGGTTAACAATGTGGTCATTTTTGTCTGGCAAATAGGCTACGCTTTCTGACGGCACAAAAACAATAAAAACCTTAGTAAATATTGATTGCAATCTGTTGAATAACCGTCTTTTCCATCTTTTAGTCTGGGATAGAGTATGTAAAATCAAAATTTTAGGTCTGGGATAGGGTCAGGGTTTTGAGGTCATGGCGGCACACCCCTACCCAAGTTGGGGGGGTAAAACCCCCCCCCCCCCCCCCCGGCATCTATAATTAAAAGTGAACTCAATTTTTAGTACCTTGGACAAGTAGATACTCTCCATTATACTACCAACTTGTTCCTTACAATGTGTGGCTAAGGTTGTATAATCATAGCTACTGAATGTCCATAGTAAGAACTCCTCACAGCGATCTATCAAACTTTGAATGTGAAATCTGTCAGCGAGCTCTAGTACACCAGGAATATTTGCTTTATCTAGGAGACATTTGTCTGTGTAAATGAATTCCAGAATGGTATGGAAATGTTCTAGAGAAATCTCAGGAAGCCTGATCTGTTAAATAAAATAAATAAATCATGTAAAGTTATAAATGTTTCCTTCAAATTTTATAATTTAAGACCTGAAACTTCCCTGCTGAAACAACCTCTGGGCTGATCAAAGTGTGAGCATGGCTGACTCACAGATTTAACCCTGAAACAACCTCTGGGCTGATCTAAGTCAGGGCATGGCTAACTCACAGATAGAACCCTGAAACAACCTCTGGGCTGATCTAAGTAAGGGCACGGCTAACTCACAGATTGAACCCTGAAACAACCTCTGGGCTGATCTAAGTCRGGGCATGGCTAACTCACAGATAGAACCCTTAAACAACCTCTGGGCTGATCTAAGTCAGGGCATGGCTAACTCACAGATAGAACCCTTAAACAACCTCTGGACTGATCAAAATGGCTAACTCAGCATGGCTAACTCACAAATTGAATTGAAAATTAGTGTTTCATGGTTTTGTAGAGAGAGGAAACCTTGATTTATACTCTGTAACTCCTTGCTTTACAAGATCACTGGTTTGATTCCCATTTCATGTCAGCCTGTCTCTTAAAGCAAGTCATGGGCATGATTTAATTATTTCAGGCCTTCAATTATTATTACTAACACGAAAAGTAAGGGTTGCCTTGTTACCTCTATTATCTCTTTCTTTAAAACCACCCTCCAACATTGCTGCCAGCACTGGTGATCTCGTTGCCATGACAACTCGATGGACAAAAATGGGTGTTTCCTCAACTACCAACACTGTATCGGTCAGCCAATCATCTTCAGCCAAAAGCTTATCTGCTCTCCTCCACATTTCTTTATGAACAATAGTTGCTTCAATCTTGGCATTGTCTGCTTTTGACTTGTCGGTGGGGCAGTAAGAATCATCACTTCTATTCTTCTTTTGATTGATATAGATTTCAAATGATTCCAAAGATGGTGGTGTAGGAACAAAGGCTAATTTTCCTTTGCATCCTCGGCTGATAAAGATTGTAAACAACTCCAGTGGAGGAGGTTCTGGAACCATTGTCACTTTCTGTGTTTCTTCATCTTCCTGACCACCATTTTCATTTCCTTGATGCTCTTGCAAGGGTGTGACATGTAAATTCTCATCACCTTGCAGAGTTTCCTGTCCACTCTCATCCATCTGTATTAAGTTTTTAGCCTTTCCTTTGTGTCTAAGAAGATTATAGCATAACGTTTTCAGAGGAAGGATTTCTAGTTCAAAGATGACGTGATATAAATTTATGACAAAAATGTCATCAAGTTTATCAGGGATATTCAACACCCCTGTGTACATCCATTTAAGAATGCATACGAATGCAGTATAATCTATTGATTTATCAAAAGCAATCTCCAATTGATGACCATCAACTTTACACAAGAAGTTGGTGGCTCTGTATGTAAAGTTCTTACTGAATTCTTGTTCAGGTTCAATAGACATGCCAGCCWTAATGTTGTCACCTTTTGGAACACAAGAACATGTTTTTCTTTCACACGTTTCACAAGGGTACATATGGTGGGTTCCTTTACTTAAGGGCGTAACAAGTAGCT